ATTTGATATAATTTAAATAATAAAATATAATTTTTTAAAATTATTTAATTTAATTAATATTTTATTTATTTATAGTTTTTAAATAAATAATTATAATTTCAGAAATTAATTTAATATATTAAATAATAAATATTAATTTTTTAATTATCAATTCTTTTTAACAATAAAATTAAATAAAATTAAGTAATTTTAATAAAAGGTTGAGCAATCATAACTATACCCTTTAAGTTGGGAAAATATCTTTAGTAAATTTTATTTGGTAAAAATATTTAAATATTCTTATCATCTAAATATTGACTTTTAAAATTTATTAAAAATTCTTTTAAAGGTAAATTTTTTTAAAAAAATTACTTTAAACAAATTTACTTTGAATGCTCTATAAACAGCTTATATATGTAGGATGCTCTTTCTTATCCTCTTGTTTTAGGCGTGCAGAAATGAATAGGGCATGCACCAGTTAAAGTTAAATGGTGGGTTCGATGGTAAATAAATGTTATTTTGTACACTTACTTTATCTGTCTAATAATATTTTTATCTTTTTTTCATCACATTCATAAATTAAATGCTAAATTGGACTTACATGTGCCTTCAAACTGTTTCAATTAGCGAATTATAACAATAAAAAGCCTTAATAATAAAATTTTGGGTACTTTCCTCTCAACTCATGAGCAAAGTCGCAAGCCAAACACATTAAAAATATGTAATGCAAGCCATGAGAGTACCTTTTTTTTTTTCTTTATTTTCAAATATAACATTCACTATTATCCTAAGAAATGAAGTGAATTACAAAAAATGAGATCTAACATCAGGGTTCCAATGAAAAAAAAAAATGAAGAAAAAACCTAACACATCTTACAAATGTATAAGAGACAATTAATTTGGGATAAAATTTTGGCCAAAATATGGTAGATATCATGAGCTAGCGGAAATAAGAAAAATTATTTTTCTATTGAACGTGCTAATTTAATATGAGAATATATTTTTAAAATTATAAATAATAATAGTAAATGAGATCAAA